GCTTGCCATCCCCACTCAGTGCTTAAACAGCATCTCTGCCCCCCATGCTCTGCCCTGCACAGGCACTTGGTGGGTTCCAAACTGCTGCCTCTGTCCCACCAAGCCATTTCCAGCTACTGGAACATGTGCAAAACCTCTGGAGTGTAGGAAGAGCTAGTTTTGCCTTTTCTTTTTGATACTCCTGTTTCCCAGTGGTGCTTCTTTCCAGCTGAGGAGCTGCATCTCTGCCCAAGCGGACAGTGTCACAAGTTAGAATTCTCACCTAAGAATACTTAATGATGGGAACTCTTTCCACTTTATAGGATGACATAAAACCAGTCAGCCTGGAATCCCTGGATTCCAGTTTTGGACAGCACATAAGAAGATAAATAAGGATACTAATTATCTTAATTTATTCCATAATTATTTTAATTATTAATCACTTCCTTCTTTCTTGCATATTATCAGGTCTGGGATGGGAGCATTCCTGAGTTCGAAGGCAGGCTCTGCCCCTGTCATGCTCCTGTGACTCACCAGGTTCATCTTTATCTCTTCCCACACCTCTCATAACCAGACATCCTTGAAGCTGCATAATTGCTTCTGGGGATACAGTAAGTAGGGTACTACACACACCTGAGTTGACTCACTCAGGACATGTTTTGTTCCCTCTGTAGCATTCCCTCTGCAGATGGTTTTGGAGACTAAGAGGGCTAGTGAAGCTAAAAGAGGGGTAAGCTGTAGGGCACGGCTGCTGGGATAGCAAATGAGTTCTTCTTTTCAGCTGGAGTTTTTCAGGGGTCTTAGATGCATTTAATAAAGGCTACATGAGGTTTTTCACACAAGACGTAAGCTGTTTTTTGCTTGGGCCGGCGGCGATCATGTAAAACTGGGGCCTGGTGAGGCAGTCCCCGCAGAGGGGCGGTGCCTGCCCGTAGCCTGGCCGGGCTGTGCCACAGGGCTGGCACTGCACCACACCGTCAGGCTGCGCCGGCCACCTGTGGCGGCTCCTCACCAGAGGCAAGTCCAGCGCCGACCAGGCTCCCTGCCATGGTTTCTGTGTGCCAACGACACATTTGCTAACAGTTTCCCAGGGAAGGTGCTGCTGCCAAACCATGTGACAGGTGGAGGAAGGGGAACTCTGCCAGAGGAGAGGAGCAGGGCTGGCTCGGTGGGTGGGCTTGATGATCTTGGAGGTTCCCTCCAACCTAAATGATTCTATGATTCTGTGAACCCATGGAGGCCCCAAACCCATATCGTGGCATCTCAGGCACATAGGAAAGGGAGGACAAAGGGAGAAGTGCTGGCTAGGACACAAGTAGAGGAAAGGCATGGCAAAAAAAGTAAAGCAGGAAAGAAGGAAAACACAAGTGAGGAAGCTGGTGCTCATTCAGCAAGAATTTGCAGCAGTGCAGCCTATTTATATGTACTAGTTGATAATATTATGATAAGAAGCTCTGGAAGGCTGTGACCTGCGTTTTACATCACACAGCCCTTCTCTGGCTCTTCCTCTTACCTGCAGGCAGGCAGGCAGGCATCTTCCCAGTGCTGGTTTTAGCATCCATAGTAGTAATCATTTTCTAAAGCCACAAATAAGTAGAAAATAATAATTAAAAAAAAATATCCAAATCTCACAGAGGAAGGAGTTCAGGACTAGAGGTTGTGTAAGTTAAGAGCCAACTATGACAAAGGTAAGCGAGGAAGAAGCATGCTCTGGGTGGAGACAGGAACAGCCTGTGTTGGAGGGAGATGAATGCATCTGGGACTCTTCTGTATGGATGGCAACCCTCTTTCCTAGTTGCAGGACTAAGCACTGACCAAGAGGCTCTTTGTTGTGACACCAAGAGTAAATACTATTTTTGCCCTTGAAAACATGTACAGTCTCAAACTGTTGTTTGCTCCTCATTCTTCTACATATTCTATTTTTTTTTTTTTTAAGTCTGCTCCTATTTTCAGCTCAGAACATCAAATGGTGATGGGTTTTGGCTTCCTAAATAGGCACAGGGAAACTGCAGTGATCTGGAAAGCTGAATTTTCTCTTTTGCTCTCCAAGGCTGACAGCGCTTTAGCTTTCTGTATTGTGCTGTCAGTATCTCACTGTTATCCTTTAACCTGACAGCAAAAAAAATTTTGAGTCTCTATCTGTTCCTGATGAGGGAAATGTAAGGAGGAAAGGACGTATAGACTAATCTTTTTACTTCATGAGAGATCAACAAAATAAATGTTTCCATTTTTATTTAATTTTAAAAGGATTTTAAGCTATTAACATAAGCAGTGTATGCATAATGTGATAAATTAAGGTTGGAGCTGCCCTTTTAGTAATGATGAGCAAAATGATTGCAACTGAAGAGTTGTGGCATTTCTTGTCCTACATGATTATGCTTATTATCCTGGCTATTTACACATTATAATGAAGTGGGACCATTTTGGTGCTCCCAAGCTGTGACTTGTTAGCACTTACACCCACTTACAGAGCCACAAACACCTATAAAATATGTTTGTTGTGAATTAAGTTTACCGAGGCCAAACTAACGTTTGTTGAAAGTTTTCAATTTACTGTCTCTAATCCAAGAGGCTTTTATATACAGAAAATGTAAAATGGGTCCGTATTTAAAAGGCTGACAAAAAGCAGCCTACCAGATTTTCTGTATGTATTAGCTTTAATTTTTCTCATGCTTGAATGCATCATCACGGTGACAGTGGTGAAAAGGCTTGTGCAATCTCCCAGGCTCCAACCATGCAGAATAAAGGAAAAGGGATCTGTGCAAGCAGAGCTTTCCCTGCTATTTTCATCATGTGCCTCCTTGTCTTGCCCCACTAAAATGCTACAGCATTTCTAGAGGAAGCTGATCCCTACCTCTTGTAGAGAGATGGTCTTCCCCATGAACTGGTCCTACAGCAGATGGAGAGCTGTAGCCACCTGCAAGCCCACCTCTGCAAGAACAAGGTACACTACACTGTCGTAAGGATTGTTTTAAGTGGTATCATCCTCTACTGAGGAGATCAATTATAAAATTGTAAGAAGAAAATCCACCTCAGATGATCAGAGCCTTTTAAGACATGAAGATTAACTGGAGCTGGAGGAGGTTGGGGCTTTGTTTTATAACGCTCCTGTAATTCTCAGTCAGTTGAAGGAATTTTGTCAAACAACTGTCACCACAGGAAAAAAAAGTGCATGCCTTGAAAAAACAAATCATGGTGTCAGAATTGTGTCTTATCATGGTTCTGTATACGTATGTTATGTGCTGAGCTAAGGGGAGAGGAAGTTATGGAAGCAGCCGTAAGGCATAGCTGCACATCACCTTATAGGACACAGCAGCCATTCAAACAATTTTCATTTCATCTGCCTAAGCAATATTGGTATTTTCTTTATAGATGTGTTTTCTTACCCATTTCAAATTATAGGCAGAATTATTAGTCCTGCTGCCAATAGGGTCACCTCATGTTTTCAATAACTTAAAACTTTACCAGATTTTAATTGTTCATATTAAAATTTTCCAATCCTTAAGGAGAATAATTTGAAAAAGTTCCAGGTAATATGATGTAGCTGTTTCTGCGACTATGATTTGGGAAGTATGCTTTTTCATTGTATTAAACCAAAATTCTACTAACTATTTTATCTTCAAGATTATCGTGGTTTAAACTACGACTTTGAACTTTGGCTGAGGTGGCATCAGTGGTGCACCTTTTGTCATTTTTGTAAGTTTACTCAAATCAGAGCAAGTTATAGCATTTATAAAGAAACACCAGTTTGCTGTTGTAGACAGGAGACAGGCCAGTGTGTAGGTGCTGAATTTGGGCAGTCCCATCTGTGCTGGCTGGCCTCGGTCAGGGAGTGTCTCAGTAGCACTTTACAGCTCTGACTCTGGATTTGTAGCATGGGGTGACCTAATAATAGTGAAGAGAGCATCCAGGAAGGAGACTGAGGAGAGACTGAGCTGGTGAGGGAGGCTGGAGCAGGGAGCTGAAGTGGGAGAAAGGAGGTGTGTGGGGACAGGGGGAAGACAGCTTCAAGCTGCAGAACAGGCAGGGAGGCTTGTACTGCCTAGGACCCTCCAACGTCCTTGCAGTACCTCACCTTGGTTCCACGTTTTTCAGCCTCGTTGCTCTTCCAAGAGCTCTGTAGCAGAATGCATCTCCCCTTCCATCCCGATGGCTGGAGCACACTGCTGCTCGCAGTCTCAGAGCTCAAGGAGCAGGGGTGTTTGTTTCCCACACACCCACAAGCTCAAACACTGCTCTGCCCATTCGATAATACTTTTGCTCTTCATTTTGCTTTCTCGAAACTGATGCATTCAAAATCTAACCTACATTAAAAGAGCATGAACAACGCAAAATCCAGCTCTCATAAGCAAGAAAAGCAATAGAATACTGTCCATGTAAGTGTAGTTTGTCTTCTTTCTGCCTAAATACAATGGTATAAAATACTTTTTTTTTTTCCAGTTGAGTCCTAAAGGCTTCACAACTAAAAGTGATGGCAATCAGAGTGAGATTTGATTAGAAAGATACACCAGTGCTTCTGGCCCTGTTTCCTATCTCCCATGCAAGATTGGCAGACTTTTTTTTAATCTTCTTCTTAAATATGCCTTTCTTTTTTTCCCCAGTGGGAATTACACTGCACTACCATGTCTGGAAAGTGATGAATAGATACAGAAAAGCTGATAAGGAACTACGCTATATTTACAGTTCTAACAGTATGAAGGCACAGCACTATGCATCACAAGGAGGAAGTAACCCACTGAAACAACACTAGGTACAAGAATAGTCTAAATCATGTCATAAATTCTGTATTTCCAAATTCTTTGCTTCTTGAATTTGCCACATTACTGATATTTAACATACTGATATTTAACATAGTTATTAATTTTTATATAATCTCACATGGATTTCTCAGTTTCTTGACCATGTATGTGTTAGTACATAAGAATGCAGAGTTTATGAGAGTGAGAACAAGGCTTAGGTAAATGTAGTGTTACTTAATATTAAAATATGAAAACCCTTAACATATTCAACTCCTTTACAGAATGACAAGGGAGGAAAAGTCACAAGGCAAAATAAAACCACCTGATTTTGAACATCCCAGAGATGAGGAAGATCAGCCGGTGAAGGTCACAGCTGCATCCGAGAACAATGACTCGAAGCACATTTCAGTTTTTTGCTCTGCATGTCAGCAAACAATACCTCCATACCACCTTCTTCATCATAAAAAAACCCACAAAGCCCTAACTTTGCTGGGCTTTGATAGCCCACAGACAAAGATTAACATGACAACACTTTTAGCTCAGAGACAGAAACTAATTTCAAAATTGACCAAGACTCCTAAATACTTTGAGACACATATGCAGAAGATTGATTATTCATTTCAATTCCTTATGGATAGTCACATTCCTACATCATATTGTAATCTTGCTAATATTAACACTCCTAGTACTTTTAAGAAAGTAAATAATTCTTTAATAAAAGCCTTATCAATTTGCCAGGATAAAAATTCCACATGGCAGAGAGATATGCAAGACAGATTTATCGTGCTTGACAACTATGGAAATAGGTCAGATACCTGTTTTCTGGGGCTGGTTGATGGCTGTCACGGTGCGACTGCTGCAGAAACAGTTGCAGCAGAGCTCCCACTTTTATTTCTTGACCAGCTTGCTCAAACTGATCCCTCCTACAAAAAGAGCGAGGGTGAACAGCAAATTCTAGATTCTTTTGCCACGGTAATCAAGGCAGATTACAGGGAAAAAGAGAAGGTTTTCTCTGATAAACCAGGCAATGATGAGACCACCAAGACCAACACCTACGAATGGATTCACAAAGCCTATGCCAAGTCCTTCTGGAGAATGGACAGGCTTTTACGACTGGGAAGGAATGAGGTTTCCAAAGTTCGCTGGAGTGGCTGTTCAGCTGTTACCTGTTTGGTGGAGAGAATCCCCAGCACAGAGACAGATGGCACTGAGGAGGAACAAAGAAAACGTTCTGACAACAACCCACACAGTTCACTAGCCAGGACAGCCAAAGGTGTCGCTGGGTTACTGCACGTTGCCAATACAGGTAGGCACATGCCACACAAGGTTTTTTTTTTTTTGTTTTTTTTTTTTTTTTTTTCTCTCTGCCCAATAAAAAGAGGTGGGAAAAAAGCTAATCCTAGTATTTGTTTGCAGTAGATATTTGGAAATAAAGAGCTGCAATTGCTTTAACTTGAGAATGTGAAGACATGATAAATTCCCTTACTGCCTGATACCAATATCAGCTGCAAGTATTAAGCTTATCTATAAGCCCCTTCAATACAGTATTTTAGTTAAAGCAATGAAGTCAATTTACTAATGCAAAAGACACAGTTAAGAAATGTTCCATAATACACAGGTGACCTCTGTAGGAGTAGTAAGGACAATTCCTAACTTTTTTTTTTTTTAAATCAAGAGAAAATTTAAAGGTGTGATCATTTTAGGGCACAGTTACATATCTTCTGACTTTACATCTGAAAACTCTTGTGTCAATGAAACACGGTTAAGACATTCTTTATATTCATGTTTCACTTATAAGTGACAGCACATTTTGCTACCAGCAAACCAAAACTGTGATCTGTTCATCATGAACTATTAATTTCTGAAATGGGAATTAGTTATTTACTGTTGTCACGTAAGATCTATTCAGGCCTTTTTCCTTATGTAGGAGAAGCCTGCCTCGCCTTTCTACAATGCAGAAAATCAGTTAATTAAAGTCAAACCCACCAATACTAGTGCTTCTCCACCCAGCCGCACTGCAGCCAGCACTAGACAAAGCTCCTGCACTTCTTAGCAGCTCCACTCGTATCGTCCCACTCAGTGATTTTTGTTACCAGCTAAGTTTTTATGTACATACAGCAGCTGTAAGATTACAAGCAAGATGCTTTCCCATAAGGAGTACACAAGCAGAACTATATAGAAAAAGCTGTTGGGTGAAGAGTTTCAAATGGATTTGTGCCTACAGTTTATATTCTCTAGTGTCTTCCAGTCTCCTTGAAGCACACGCCCAACAGTAGAATGCTTTTCTGTCACTCTCCCCAGCACTAGTAAGGCCAGTGCTAACCAAACGTCAAAGAGTATTTTTGCTTAACAAGAATATGCAATGCTCTGTCAGTCAGAGGAACCACTATAAACCAATGTGCACTATCAGTGCACGTTCAATAAGTAACTCTGATATATCCCCTGCCTTTCTTCTCCATTCTCCCAACACTTGTTGCTACAACCATTTTTACATGTTTGCAGCTACTGGAACTTCGTTGTTACTAGTATCAGAATTGCTAGCTCAGATATTCTTACAGGAGATGCAGTCACACCTTTAATGGAATACAGGAGTAACTCAAAAGTTGTCATGTTTTCAGAACTGATAAATGCATTTGTCTTCACCTTATTGGTGAAGAAATCCATTTTTATTACAATGAGCTTGAGAGGTAGGATGAAGGTAGGAACACTTGGCAGAGAATTCACCCAATGAAAGTTTTCTGGTTCTAGTTATCTGCCTCCATCTTTCCCTCCTAGATGAGGTTTTATGCTGGCTCCAATTAAAGGTACTCTAAACTCAAGCTCTGTTAGTGAGTTAAGGCTTGAATTTGATTGGATACTTTAAGCCTTTTATAATTAAACCCCACATTTTTGAACCACTTCTAAATACACATTTATTTAATCTAATACACTTATTTTCCACCAAATGTATCACATCAAAGATCTGCACAATATCAGCCTTCATTTCGCCCCCAGGAACATGTTCTTACAGAAGCATAGATATATTCCTCCAGCACCAGGCAAGCAACTGGAGGATGGCCAGATAAGAGGAGCAGTACATGGTGGTAGTAGGTAATTGAATGATAATGTCAGTTTTTCCCCTTGGCAAAAGGCTAACTGCAACAGCAGCACCTACAGAAAAAAAATCTGTATGCTGTAGCTCCAATTATCTTATTTCCGTTCCAGGTAATGCACATGCAGTCTTATGTAGAAATGGAGAGAGTCACTGCCTCTCAACAGAGCACAGCACGTGGAACCCCAGCGAGAGAGCGCGCGTCCTGCAGAGCGGCGGGAGCATCAGCACCAACGCACCGCACGGGCTGGTGGAGGGATGCCTGAGAACTACCAGGGCTCTGGGACATCACGGAGATCCAGTACTGAAAAGATCTGTCATTCCTGTCCCTCACAGTATCTCTGTCCCTATCGATGATACTTGTCAGTTTCTTATTTTAGCTTCTAATGGGCTTTGGGAGGTTTTGGATCACAACAAAGTACTTGCATTAACTCTAACAATATTCACTCGTTACTTGAGAATCTATGAATGTGTTCAACAAAATGTGACTTCACCATCTAAGTGTCAGTATGGGATGCCTCTCGCTGAAGAAAACTTAAATGCCTCAGAGACTATTAAAGATCTGCAAGATGGAAGAGAGATACTTTATTCCAGGAAAGACATTTTTCTTACTGACTCAAAGGGCAATCTGAAACAAAATGAGTCAAAGTGTTCTAGAAGGAACTATTTGCAAACTGAAGATGGAGTTCCTAAGGAAACTGACGACCACAAAAATCAAGCTGATCCAGAACTGTCTCTTTTCAGGAAGAACAAAGTAAATTCACAGCACGGAGAGATATACCGGTCAGATTCTAGCGCACAAGGTGGCTCTGAAAAAGATCAACAGTTTGAGGACAGAAAAGTTTATCTATGTAACAGTTTTCAGCCCCAGTCACAGACTGCAGAACAAGAAGAAACTGACAGTTCCTGGGCAACAGGTCTAAGCTGCACCAGTGAACAGCTGCCAGAAAATGTGGTGGCAGTAGGGTCTACAGCCATGAAACAGCCCCTAAAAGATACAAAAGCATGCCTGTCTAATTACGACTCAAGTCCACAACTGGCAGAAAAAACATACTTCAAGGTACTTTGTGACAAACCTGCAAGTTACGTCAGACAAGAGCTGCTAAAAACTGTGCCACCAGTGGGTTCTACATCACCACCACAGTTTGAAGAGGATGCAGAAATGTACATGTCCAACTCCAAATCACAAACTGCAGGAAGAGGCAGGGCCCTCTCCGAGACACTCTACGACAAGGCAGCAAGCTACATTAGCCAACAACTGGTCAGGACTGCATTAGCTGCAGGTTCAAGAGATAACATCACTGTTCTGGTTGTACTTCTGAATGGATGTGATAAGATACCAAATTACGTCAACATTTAAAAACCTATCATAGGATAACTGAAGTGCCACAGTTCATACTACAAGCTTATAATTAGCCATGTCGTGTATTGACTTGTAATCACCTTAGACACTGACCTATACAGTAAATCAGATGTCTGGAACTGTGCAAATGGAATAAAACCTTCTGAAACTCTCAGTAAGAAACGGTAACCAAAAATCCTCTCTTTTTTTTTTAAACCACTTTATTCAAACCTGAGCACCTCAATATAAAACTAAACACTGGTGAACTGTCATTTTCCTTGCTAAACCCAGATTACTGCAAATTTAAAATCTGCACAAGTAAGTTTCTGCTATCAGTTCAACATTTAAATAGACTAATTCATCTCTTCTGACACACTTGGTAGATTTCATATAATGAAAATAACTAAAAGAATTAGTGCAATATACTGGACAGATCAAAATAAAATGTACTTTGGAAAACAAAGTTGCAAAGTTCATTACTGACAGACAGCAGTACTTATGTTACAGATACAGGAGCATCGTTTATTACTGTTCTAGCCCTAAAGGAAGAACTTAGAACCCCCTTTGATTAGAGAGGAAAAAAGTTAGCTTTAAGTAACTGTACATTCTGTATACCTTTAAGCAACTCTTAAATATTACAGAAAGTATTAAACAAATGTAGACTACAATGCAGAGTACCTATATACAGTACATTAATACCCAAATTTAAATCAAGTTGGATGTACATAATCGTTAGTGCACTATTTCTTCCTCAGGGGAAAAACAAACTGTAACGGCCAACCATGATGAAAACCAAGAAAGAAGTCACAGACACCAAGTTCATTGTGGTTTTACTTGAAGAGCTCTTACAGCTTGTAGAGGGGAGAAAAAAACTCCAAAACACACGAAGTTGTAAAGTTGAATTTACTGGTCTGTACCCTCTGAACAGATTAGAAATGAGGTTAAACTTGATTTATCACTAATTCCTTTAGATAACTAACTGGATTGTATAATTGCATTCAGTGTACCAACTAAAACGCCACCTTCCTGCAAGCATAGGGTTCTCAAAATCGTTAATGCAAGTATTATTTGAAATTAAATTATTAAACTATGGAATGTATAACTAAACAGTAGATACCTGCAGAAACAACTGGTTGCATTAATACTGTGAACGTTTAAGTAATTTTTAGATCCTGTTTCTAAAAAGGATTGAAAGCGTAATTGAGAATTATGAGAAGTCCCAACTCTATTTATTGTAACAGTAATCAGTACTGAGGCTACAGGAACCAGCCAATTAGGTCCACAGAAAGTAGTTTTTTTACACCACTAATGGCAAGTGATTTTAAAGACCTTTCAACCGAATGAAGTTTATTCCAATTCCATCTCTCCTCTACTGCTGGAACGTTACAGCCAGTGATTTTAACATGCATGTTAAAATTTTAGGTCAAAAGAAAACTCTGTATCATGAACTTGACTATTACCATAAGTCTCTTCGCTGTTTGGAAGCTGTACTGGGCCAGGTTAAGCACTCCAATTCCATGGTTATTAACAGTTAGGAAGCAGAAGAATATTCAGAACAGTTTAAAGCCATTGATGCTTTAGTTACTACAACATTGACTCTTGGGTGTCTGTGTGGGTTCAGTAAGGTCTACTCCTCTTCCTCTGGCAGAGTTGGCTCCTGCATTCTGTGGTTCATTCTTGGGCAATTTTTTTGCTACAAAATTAACAAGAAATAAGAGTTAAAGCTGAGACTGTAATAAGATTAAACTACCCAAGTACACAGTCAACACTTTTACGCTATAAGCATATGCATATAATCACTATAAAATCTGATTTGATTAAAATCCACACATTGGTAATAAAACAAGTTAAGACACTTAAATTCTTAATTAGCTACCTGATCTATGATTTTCTAGAGTGAAATGTGTTAGCAACTTGAGCAGTACAACGTATCTGCACAGGTATGCTATGCTATGCCAGTCCACGAGGTATCCTGTAGGAATGCACCTACCCAGAACAGGCTTTAAGATCAGGACGTTAGTGCTAAAACATACAGGGAGATTGAAAAGGCACAAAACACAGATAGAAATGGGTCAAACTACTGCCCAGCTGTCTAGCCAGAATATGTATTTTCATATAACATGGAAAAGGGCCCTCAGCACCATATCAAGTCTCTCCTTCCCCCTCACCCCCAGCTGTATCTTTTATCCAGCTCTTACGAGTCAATTGACTGTGGTAATTTCTTTATTGTCCTTGCAGCTTCAGGATATCTCCTCTGTACTGACATGAAAAATAAGGGTGACAAATGTTACCCTTCTGAGCAGTAGGCTCCCACTAGCAATTTTCTGATGGAGAGAAACCAAAGTTCTACATAAATACTCCCGTCGGGCTGTCTTGTCCATGTTACCAGGATTCAACAACCACCCCTGTTCTACAGTCCGGCTGCACACTGACTCTGAAGTAATTATTTTGACCAGCTTTTAAAGAACAACGTTTCCTACAAGGAATTAAATAGAAGTCTAACAGCCAGCAAACCAGCAGAGTACACAGCAACAAGGTGTTCTGTGGTGCTAGATTATCTCATCTTGGCTCCTGTTTCCACAAAACATTGGACCAGATGATCTTTCAAGGTCCTTTCCAGCTTGGGCTGTTCTACAATTCTGTGATAGAACCCAAGAGTCATTTGATACTGAGCTGCTGAGACAGTACACAGGGACAGAGCACCCGTAGAAAAATGCCTTCAGAGCAGTTCTAGCTTTGATTCTGAATACATTGTAGAACTGCAAATTAACATGGCTTTAACTGGAAGTTCTGAATGAGCTCTAATGCAGTCAATTTAGAAGCAGCTGTAGCTTGCACCCCTCAATTCTGTTCATGCTGTCATTTTTCATTTTCTCCCAGTTTTGAAGGTCATATTTACATGTGGTCTTGAGAACTCCACCCATGCTGTGCAAAAGGCCACTCAAGTTCCATGCAATACCTATATCCTCAAACTTTCCTTTCAGGACCCAGTGCGGCACAGATCTTCTTATGATGCACTAAAATCTGAATTCCATCCGCTGATATGAAAAAAATATGGACAACCAACCTTGCAAACAAATACCCAGGTACCAATTGGGTATTGTTTTCTCAAATTTACATTGTATACTTCATTAAAATATGGAGGCGTGAATTATTGTTGATATAACAAATTACAAAAGAAATTACCATATTTGGGGGATTTTTCTTTTTACTTTTTTTTTTTTTAAACAAGATGCAAACTTTAAAAAAATTAATTTTAAAATTTCACCAGTACAGTGTAATTGAGCATTTCTGTATCATTAAATGCAGGCCTAACTCAAGGTTTTATGAGAAAAATATACTTTCCCCTCATACACTTGAGTGCTCTCCACCCACCAAATATTTATAGTTAACACAAAGCAAGTACTGTTATAAAGCGTTGCTATAGTGATAACTTAATTTGCATCTGCTGGAAGTCTGAACTATACCACAAATTACCTTCTGTTTTACTAACTTGCAAATATTAGAGATCTTTAGAAACATATAATTTTGATAGCAGTGCTGTTTGTCACAAAAGTGAGAGAGAGGTCACTGCACTGCAAAATATGAAACAGTTTTAATAAGGCTATTTGACACTATATGTTACTATTCCCTAGTAGCAAAGACACCTCTGTAACTAAGGATATTACTAAATAAGGTTGGTGACCAGCCTAGAAATGCATGCTCTCTTTTTTCCTCCACCTTCAAAATTTAATTTTAACGAAATACAATTCTGTGTCTATCAATGGAATTCACAAAATTTCTTAGTGATTTTTACTTACTGTTACATGCTAGCATCTTCAGAGAAATCCCTAAGATTATGTTAGGACTCAAAAAATACTAGTAGCTATACCTTTCACAGGAAGGACCCTTAACTTATACTTGGACACAGAATTTAAGCACACATTGTCATCTTTGACACAACTTTTCTATTTTAGATAGCTGCATTTGGAATTCAAACAAAATTTTAACACAAAAGCATATTTAGCAAATATTTTGTTTACACTAAAATAAATACTTGACTTTGTCTTACACAAGTCCATTATTTTTCTCCCATTTTGAAATGTTCCCAGCTTCAATTCCCACTGCCTCATGAAAAGTCACATTATTCCAGGTTCTGCACCTATCCGAGGCAGTGTGAAATCCGCTGCAGGCACCGTACTATCAAAAGGCACACTGACACACTTTCACTTACATTCTTACACTGATTCCAGTAACAAATGCCAAGTACACCTTACAATTAAGGAAAGCTGGGCAAAGCTTTTTACAGTTACCTATCTCATGGGAAAGGTTTTGTTTTTTGTGGTTTTTTTTTGTTTGTTTTGTTTTGTTTTGTTTTTGTTTTTGTTTTTTTAAGTAAAAACTAATTTTGCTTCCACTTGGAGCAATACAAGCTTTTATGACAGAATCAAAACAGGTCTACACAACCTGCTGACAGAATTCAAAAATAACCTAGCTTAGCTATTCCAAATTAATCCAAGGATTTTGGTGCTTGACAGAAGACCTGCACAACTATTTCAAGCAAATTTATCTGATGTGTTAATACCAAAAAGGATCCAAAAGGGCCTAAGGAAACTTCAGTGCCAGAAATTTAGGTGAAAGCAGAAGATACTTGATTAGGAAGTCTGTGATGGTGTCCCATGAAAACAATTCCCTTCAATTCTCCGTTTGTTCATAAACTCACCAATTGCCATGAATATTTCATTTACATTCATAGATGTTTTGGCAGATGTCTCCATGAACAATAAGCTGTTGTCATCTGCATAGGCCTGTGCTTCCTGAAAGTTAATATAAGTATGCATTATTTCATTAAAAAATAAGAAAAATCACACAATTATTACACACTGTACTTTTATTGCTAATAAGGAACAATTTCTACACCATTATGAAAGAATAATTTTGCTGAAGCACTCCTGTGACAATGTGTTATTCATCAGCTATGAAAAAGTTACAATTCTATCAAGCAGTTAAATATTTACAACTGCAATTTTTAAAATCCT